TGTGTGTGTGTGTGTGTGTGTGTGTGTGTGTGTGTGTGTGTGTGTGTTACACTCCTCTAGAGACTAATCCCAGCATTTGAGGGGCAGAGGCCAACAAATCTCTTGAGTTTGAGTTGAGGCTAGTCTGGTCTACATAGCAAGTGGGGGTACTGGAGGGGTGACTAAGAAGAATGAAGGATGATACACACACACATACACACATGATTTTTTTTTTTTTGGTTTGTTTTTCGAGACAGGGTTTCTCTGTGTAGCCCTGGCTGTCCTGGAACTCACTCTGTAGACCAGGCTAGCCTCGAACTCTCGAACTCAGAAATCCACCTGCCTCTGCCTCCCAAGTGCTGGGATTAAAGGCGTGTGCCACCACCGCCCGGCCACACATGATTTTTAAAAAAACAAATGCCTCCTAAGTTCCAGGATTAAAGGCATATACCACCTAGCACATATTTTTTTGTGAGGGGGGTTATATTAGAGGTATTAAGGTAATCAAAACCTTAGATTACAAATCATGATCATGAGTTTGCACATCTGTGCATAAACTATCTGCATGCAAAAGTTGTCCCATGCAGGACCACATCTGATCATCAAACCAAAGGAAAGATTTAGGGGATATTTCTAAGTGAAAATGCTTTGGGCAGTGACTTAACGGAGACCAGCCTCCAGATAAACTTTGTCCATTTATTCTTGAAAGACATTCGGGTAGCCCTCACAACTGCGACAGGCCTTGGCTCCCTGGAGAAGGCAGTCTGGTATGCTGGACTGGGAGATGGGGACGAACTCTCCCTGCCCTGAGAAAGACTTTGCTCCCTTCGACAAACCCGGTTGTATGAAACATAATCCACAGCCCCATCCGATAAGTTAGTTCTCCATGGGTGAAATGAGCCAGTTCAAGCCAAATTAGATATATTAAATGCAGGTTTATTGGGAAGCTGCTCTCTCAGGTGAGTAAGTTCACTGGCTCCAAAGAAGGTGGCCAGGGAAATCACCATGGGGAGGAGGAACAGAGGGAGGGAGGGAGGGAGGGAGGGAGGGAGGGAGGGAGGGAGGGAGGGAAAGACAGGGATGGTAAGAGCAAGCACTGGACCTGGCCCCAACAGAAGCTGGACACCTGACCACACAAGATAATTTTAGGGCCCAGACTTCTGAACCTCGTGGCTTTATTTACACAGTGACCTCTTTCCAACAAGTGATGTAGGATTTCCCCTTTGGGAGGTAACATGACATTTTCATCTGAAATAAAAGTTATAAAGAGCAGATGAGTGGGAAGAAGATGGGGGGGGGGGGGAGTGGATACCGGTGACCATTCCAAGTGGCAGTACCAAATGCATCTCCTTTGGGGAGGCCTGGCCTGGGCCCGGCAGGGATTGAGAGGTGCTTCATCAGGGCTATTCCTGACAGTCATCTGGGTGTGGACTAGCTAGGCCTGGAATGGGGAACAGGATTCCATTCCTTTCCCTTTGAGGTAACTGTCACTGAGACTAACAGGCTGCAGGCTTGGCTCTACTACGCCCTTTATTTTTATTTTTTGTTTCTTAAGGGCTTATTTTTATTTTGTGTGTATGGGTGTTCTGCTTGCGTGTTGTGTGTGCACACTCATGTGCATGCCAGGGGAGGAGTCCAGAAGAGGGCATCAGATCCCCCCAGAACGGGAGTTATGGGCAATTGTGGGCTGCCACGTGAGTTCTGGGAACCAAATCCAGGTTCTCTGGAAGAATAACAAGGGCTTTTAACCACCGAACCAGCTCTCCAACCCCCTTGTTGGTTTATTTTTTGAAACAGGGTTTGACTGAATGGCCTGAAACTATGGCCTGGAACTCAGAGATCTGCCTGCCTCTGCCTCCTGAGTGCTGGTGATTAAAGGTGTGTGCCACCATACTTGAATGCTACTTCGTATTTCCGTTCTTGTTTTCAGACAAGGTCTCCTGTAGTCTAGCCTAACCTTGAACTTCTCTGTAGCTGAGACTGGGCTTGACTTCCTGAATCTCCTGCCTCAGCCTCCCTAGTGCTGAGATTAGAGGAGTGCCCCGCTGTATCCAGCCTTGGTTCTATTTTTTTTAGGATTCAGAGAAGCAGACAGCTTGGGCTCAGGTAAGGCTAGACTTCTGGGACACACCCGACTACCAGATTCCTTTTCTATCCCACCTGAAAATCCTCCATCACCCCCACAAACCAGGACGGGCAGCATTACCGAACTTTGAGTGGAAGTAGCACACTGGCATCCGGCTAACGTCATACTGGTGCAGGAAGCTGCAGCAATCACTCTTCCGGCAGAGGCCTCGAAGCCAGTGTTTGCACACCACCATCTTCTCACCCTGCTCGTGCCGAAATGGGCATAGTATCCCTGTGGAACACAACTCTTGTTTTGGGCTCCACCTAACACCAGCCTGGAGGAATTCCCCAGGGCCTGTGAGGCTACTCTTCCTTACCTCTACCATCTCTGTGTCCCATCACCTGGACACAACCTAGGATAGGCTGGAAGAGGGCTCCAGAGGACCACACTGGGTGCTCTTAATAGACAAAGCAAAACCCCAGGAACCTCCAGGCTCCCTTTCCCTTGAGAGAACAGGTGCCTTACCCCATGGACATTCCCAGCCCAGCTCTTGGCATACTGTAAGTGCTTGTTGAGTTCATGACATTTACAGAAAGGGAAATGTTGTTCTGCATTTGTTTCTTCCTTACTAAAATTAAAAAAATAAAAAATAAAAATACTGGGGCCGGAGGGGTGGCTCAGCAGTTAAGAGCACTGACTGTTCTTTCAGAGGACCTGAAACCACAGGGTGGCTCATAACCATCTGTAATGGGATCCGATACCCTCTTCTGGTGTGTCTGAAGACAGCTACAGTGTACTCATATAAATAAAATAAATAAATCTTAAAAAAAAAATTCTTATGTGTTTGTGTGTGTTTGTATGTGTGTGTTTATGTGTGTGTGTTTGTGTGCCTGAGTGTATGTATCTGCATGCTATGCATGCTGGAGCCCTCGGAGGTCAGAAGAGGACATCGGATCCCCTAGGACTGCGGTTACAGATGGTGTGAGCTGCCAGGCGGGTGCTGGGAACTGACCCAGAGGCCTCTGCAAGGGAAACAAGCGCCTCTAACTGCTGAGTCATCTCTCTTATTTTTTGAAACCGGGTCTCCTGTAGCCCAATCTGGTCTCAATCCACTATGTTCCCAAGGACGATCTTGGAATTCTGACTTTTCTGCCTTCAGCTTCCAAGTGCTGAGATGACAGGCCCGCATCACCATGCTCAGCGCATGGATGCATACATGCTGGAGCTCACGAGCTTAGTGCGTGCTAGGCCAGTGATCTCCCCACGGCATGGCCCCTCGGCATGGGTTCATGACTTCAAATATTAAGGACAACACAGGCATGAAATAGGTGACTCTGACAATGGACAGACACTAGAAACATTAAATGTGACCTCCTCAGTATCTCCATTCAGCAGACACTGCCAATGTCTAAGCAGGCTTGTTTCCATGCATGACAAGGATGTCCTCTTTGAATACCCCCCGGCCTGCCTCCCCCCACCCCCCTCTCTCTGCCATTCCTTGTGCTCTGGCCTTTCTCAGTAGCAGCTCTCTCTTTGAGCTGTGGCTCACTCCATCTGTCATACCCCTGGAAGGTTCTGGTTTCCCAGAGCCCTTGAATGGCCAATGAACACCTTTTCTTCTCATCCAGTCATCCAGAAGTGGAACAACAGGCTCCAGGTCCTCTCTGCCCCACCCCATACCTCCTGACTTGTAGGAACAGAATATTAAAGATCTCCAAGGCAGACCCCCTAAGAATCTCTTCACCTGAATCCATAGCCAGGCTTCAGGGGGACTAGAAACAGTTAGGGGCTAGTATTTAGACAACTGTCTGTTGCTATTGGAGGAACCTCAAAGTGACCCCTAATCCAGAAGAAGAGACCAGAAGTGGTGTGTGAGGGGGTGTAATTCAGACTACATATGGGAGAGGGACTTTCGAGGGGGATCTTGGAGCAGCTGAGGGTACTTAAGGGCAGAAGAAACGGGCCTGGGGTGATTGATGGGTTTCTGTGGTGATTCACAGGGAGGAGGTAAGCTTGGAGAGAGACAAGAGCTAGGAAGCCTCCTGCGAACACAGACCAAACGCCTGGACCCATCACTACCTGTGTCAAGAAAAGATGGGCCTAGAGAGACAGCTCAGTGGTTTGGAACACTGGTCGCTCTTCCAGAGGACCTGAGTTTGGTTCCTAGCCCCCACAACAAACAGCTCAAATCTACCTGTAACTAACAGTTCTAAAGGGATCCAACACCTCTGGTTTCCAAGGACACATACACCCATGTTTATGTAGCCACACACAGATACACATAATTTTCAAAAAAGTTAAAAGGGTATGACCCCTTTATCTGTGTGTACACAGATACACATAATTTAAAAAAAAAAAAAGGAAGAAAGGAAGGAAGGAAGGAAGGAAGGAAGGAAGGAAGGAAGAAGAGAATGACCCCTTTCAGATAATCCCATCCTTACCTCTGTACACATGCCAGTGGAGTGGCCCCTGCCCAGGCCCCTGCCCTCCTTATGAGCATAAAATGCCTTCTTATTCATGTAAAAACCTAAGCCCAGTGATATCACTGACTCAAGATAACCAGATGGTTCTAGAACCTACCCCTGCCATGATGCCCACTGGACAGTATATAAGCAGAGACTGAGATCAACGCTATGTTCTGCACATCTGGAGAGACGACACCTTGATCTGCCCTGCGGCTGGAAGAGTCTCTCCCAGGATCCCGATCCTCAAGTCAGAGACTTCTGTTAGAGACCAGAGCTGACCTTCAGCTAAGCTGTGTCACACAGGTGAGCAGCCTTGAGCAGATAATACGAGTGTAGTTAGGAATTTAGGGTGTGAGCCTTGTGTGATGTTCCTCAACATAATAAAATACAACTCATAACAACTTTTTGTGGCACTAACTACACTTCCTGCTCATGACAGAGGCTGAATCCTGTCCTAGTCCAGGCGCCAAGTTCACACTCTGTCCTAGGACCCGGCTGAACCCAGCAAGCTCCCCACAGCCATTCCTGTCCAGGCCCAGCCCAGGCCTGACTCACTCACCTTTCACACATAGCCCTTTAGCGAAGAAGTTGCACACAGCTGAATTGGACTCTGGAGGAGAAAGAAAGGTAGCTTTCCCAGAGAGCCTTCTGGCAAGTCCCACCTAAGCCTCCTACAGGCTTAGATCTGCGTGGGCCCCCGACAACGCTCTCTGGCTAGTCTTTGGGGTTTTGTTTTCTGTTGTTTGCCTGTTCCTTTGCTCATCTGTTTATGCGACGAAGAAGTCTCGCTCTTGTAGTTCAGGTTGGCCTGGACCGCCACAATCCTCCCCGCCTCAGATGCTTGGTGGCCGCAGTCCGCCATCAAAAGCAGCTGTCATTCGTCTCCAGCTGTGGCGACTGTGAGTCAAAGGTAGCCTCTTCCAAAACCCTTCCCCCAACGCCCAGAGCCTGCCTCTAAATTCTACTTAAACTCAGCCCAACTCTCAGACAGGAGGTGGAAGACTTTGGGGGCACCCAGGGAACTCCAGAAGCTCTGAAATCTGTCTTTCTATCCTAGACAGTGAACTACCCAGAAGCTGTGTGGGAGACACAGAGGAATGTCAGTGAGGAAGGACTCAAGGACCTCGACAGGGAAAGCAGGCCATCGTCACTCACTGTCCATGCCCTGGAAAGGCAGGAGCCCAGTGCCCTTCTGCAGTTCCACATCCTGCTCAAAGTCGAACATGAACCCTTGCAGCCCGGCAATGACCTCCTCCATCTCCCACCCGGAAAGCGGAACGTGCCAAGCTGCCAGAGCTCCTGCAGGTGGCTCCTAAATAGCCATCAGCACTTAAGGGGCCAGGCTCTGTCTGATGCTGGTCCCTCTCTCTCAGGTCACCTCTCCCTTCAAGGGGTCAAGTGACTGCAAGTGACTTCCTGACTGGGTGTATCCCAGAGGCCCCTCAGCTGCCTCAGCCCTCCCACCTGTGCAGGTGCAGGCATCCCACACCCCCACACTGTTCACACAACCCCCATCCTCAGCTGGGGAGGGATTGGCAAAGACTCACACCTGCTTATCTCTGCATATCACAAAACATAGCCATTGCCAAACCAGGGTTCCCATTGTATGTGTGGGGACAGAGCCACACATTGACACTAGCCTACTGCTTACGGCAATGCCCAGGGGTGGGGTGGGGTAGGGTAGGGGTTGTCAGAGGGTGTGGGACAGAGGAAAGTTTCCTCCATTAGGTCCCAGCCTCTCTCCCTCCCACTAGGCTTTGAGCCTCTTTTCTAGACTGAATGACAAACCCCAAGTGTGCTCTTCCTGGAAGGGGTGGGGGGTGCAAAAGGAATGCAGGCCAGAAGAATTGGAAACAGTTGCATGAAGGGCCCTTTGTTTACCCCGTAGGCAATCACAATGGTAAACTTGAAGGGGGGGGTGGAACTAACCCAAGGCTGGGGGGTGACCTCCCAGCGAGGAATCCACGGGGCCACCCCAGAGCTTCCCCTACCCCTGAGAAAATGCTTTGAAAATGAAATATCCATGCAAATGTTGTTTTATTATTATTAGGCCAGCCTTGCCCTGCAGGGCTGAGGACCTCTGAGTCTCCTTTCTTAGGAGCATTTTTAAAGCTCTAATTAAACCAGGCTATTCCCTTCCCCCTCCTGGGTCCGGAATTGGCCTGGCCTCTCTTGGAGCCACTGTTTCCAGGACATTCAGGCTTTTGAGGCCCCGGGAAAGAGACAGCTCCCCGGGACTCAGCGGTGAGAGCTAAGCACGGCCCTGTAGGCCTGTGGCTGAGCAGACAGGATCCAGCCTGCCAGCTTTGTTTCCTGCGGCTGTTATGCCTTGATCTGTTGTTCTTTTGAACTCCAGATCTGAAAAGAAAACAGCTGGAGAGGTAGACCCACGCTGGGAAGGGCTGTGGAGCTGGGTAGAGCTGGGGTTAAGAGCTGCCTGGGATCACCGGGTCCTTGAGTACATGGGACTGGTGGCAGAACGGCTATAGACCAAGGGTCCCTAGGGAAGCTCTTGCATCTCTTGACCCTGTCCTTAAGTATTGATCAGGTCCCTGGATTGTCACCCTGGGCTCATTTTAGAATCCCACGGGTCTGCTAAAGAAGGCCGAACAGAAGGGGAAATCCAGGTGCAGAAAGCTCAGGGGCAAGCGACAGAGCGACTGTCCTGGAGATCACTGCCCTCGGGGTGGCTCAGGCTATGGGGCAGAAACAACACTGGACTGGATACGGGTTGGATGGAGGGATGAGGGCAGGGAAAGTGGCATAGAGTATGCTAGGAGAAAAGTCTGGTGATGGTGGGGGTGGGAGTGGGGTGTTCCAGAAGAGGAACCAGACCAAGACCTGAAGCAAAAACCAGCCTTCAGAGAAGAAGGGGTGTAGTGGGCGATAGGCCTGGAAGAGGTGGTGGGGATTATTAGGCCATTTCAGAGGCTTGGTTTTCTTTTTGAGACAAGTCCTCTGTACTTAGACCAGAACTCAGGAGGTAAATCGGGCTACAGAGGTCCTCTGGCCTGACTAGCACTGGAATAAAAGGCTTGAACCACCAGGCCTGTTTTGTGTGTGTGTGTGTGTGTGTGTCTATGGAGTAATCACAAAGTAATCACACCGCAAGGACTCCCTGGAGAGGACAGATACCCTGGATGATAGGCTGAGAGGAAAGGCAGGAAAAGGGATATGAAAATAATAGGCCAAAATAAAATAAAATAATAGGCCAGGCAGTGGTGGCGCATACGTTTAATCCCAGCACTCAGGAAGCAGAGGCAAGTGGATCTCTGAGTTTGAAACCAGCCTAGTCTACAGAGCAAGCTCCAGAACAGACAGAGCTATACAGAGAAACCCTATCTCAAAAAACAAAACAGTTAAAGCCCTGGGGATGTGGCCTGAGGTCCTTTCTGAAACAACTCTGGTGGCCCCAAAATGTTCAAGAACCTTCTCCTCTTAGGTCTTAGGTCTTTCTAGTACCTCCTCTGAAGGAGATGCTCCCAAATGCCAGAGTATGGACTTACCCGCACCACCACCCCACCCCACCCCCGTCTTCTCATGGTTAGTGTGGTATAGGAAAGAATCCTGCTCTAGTGGGCTAAAGTGCCCCCTACTCAGTCCAGTGCCCTTTACTGTGGGTTTAGCCTTATTTGGAATTAAAGACTTTGCAGATGTCAGTAAGTCAGGAGTTTCAAGATATGATCGCCTTGGAATTAAGGCCATTAGTGGATATCCTTGTGAACGGAGGAGTCAGGCATGGTGGTATCACCTGTAATCCTAGCCCTGAGATGCTGAGGCAGGAGTTGGGGATTGAGAGCATCTTGGGCTGCAATAGAGTCTGTCTTAAAATGCAAAAGGAGGAAAGAGTTGAGACACACAGTTCAAGTAGAAAAGGCCACTGGAAGCCAAGAGGTGGAGACTGGAGTCATCCAGCTGCTTCAGGAATAACGGCAGGCAGAGGACCTGGCATCGCTTGGACTTTGCATCTTTGGCCTTAAGAACTTTAGCATACAAAGCCTAGAAATTAGGGAGCTGAGGCAGGAGGACTGCCATGATTGTGTGGCTAATCTAGTGTGGTAGTTTGCATGAGGATGGCCTCCATATGCTCATGTATTTAGATATCTGACCCCTTTCCTAGTTTGGTGGAACTGTTTGGGAAGGATTAGGTGTGACCCTGTTGGAGGAGATGTGTCATTGGGAGCGGGCTTGGAGGTTTCAAAAGCCTTTACCATTTCCTTTGCTAATTAGCTAGCTAGTGTGCTATTCTCTCTCTCTCTCTCTCTCTCTCTCTCTCTCTCTCTCTCTCTCTCTCTCTCTCTC